TTTAAAGAAGTTTTCAACGTCAAGAGAAGGATTCGAGGTATGATTACTGAAAAAACCTCTCTTGAATCTCAAGTTTTTGAATTTCAAAACTTATTTTTGGTTTAAACCGGATTTTGATGGTTTTTGAACAAAACTAGAGTAGAAATTGGAGATCTTGGGTTCTTTGGACTTGTTTTAGGACCTAGAACCCAGATTTAGTGGTTTTCCTTTGAAATATTTTGATTTGGGACTGGATTTGCAGGTTTTGAACTGATTTTCACGAGCTTCTCTCGCGCAGCTGATTCCACTGGTCGACCTATGCGGTCGACCGGATCACATGGAAACCGGTCGACCTATGCGGTTGACCGGTCGACCTCTCCGGTCGACCGGTGTGCACACTACCGGTCGACCGGTAGTGTTGCACTGCTCTGTCACCGGTCGACCGGTTGACACGGGGTTTGACCCTGTTTGGCCTGGAATTGTTGTTTTGACCCCTGTTTTCGGGGAGAACCCAAATTAGCTTCATGTTGGGACTTGAGGTAGATGGATTAGCATTGTTAATCCTTGATTTGAGATTGAAAACCCTTGGAATGATAATTTGAAACATGAAAATGGATTAGGGCACACTAATAGGAAATCTTGGTTGGAAATTGAGATTTGGATTGCTTTAGGAATGAGAATTAATCCTAAAGGGTTGTCTTGCATCAGTGATTGCTGAGGATTCAAACTGAAGGGGCTTGAGGAAGCGGAAGCCGGAAAAGGCAACGCTAGTCCCAGGTTTGATAGTGCGAGGTAGGATTTCTATCCCTTTTCCTTGTGAGCCTGTTTTCAAAAAGGATTTCGGCCTTGAAAATGTTTTAAATAAAGGGATTGGTTTGTGAAAGGAAAATGTTTTGAAAACCATGGCTTGTTTAGTCATGGAACCTCATGGCTTGCCCAGTCATGGGGCCCGCGGTTTGAGTAGTTCGTGGGGTCGTATTAACGATTTTAAAATGTTAATGAATGATTTCTTAAGCAAAGAGATCTTGTGAACTGGTAATAGAATCTATTGCTGTAAGCCTAGATAGGATGCGGAGAGTGCATCCTCGGGGGCAGAACCCGAAACTCGGTCCGGGTAGGCAAGGCACTTGGTTAAGTAAGTAATTTGTGCTAATTACTTGCTGAAGCCTGTAAAACGGTTATTTACGGTTATATTTCCTTTGAGAAAAAGGATGTGAGGTTCCGGCTGTTCTGTCGGGACTAAATGTCTTATTTTATTTACTTATTCATTTATTTATTTACCCGCTCATTTATTTATAAAGTTATCTCAAATTATATCTTACTGGGCCTTTCGCTCACGTTTTATGTTTTAAATGTACTAAACCCTTCCCAGGAGATTCTAGGAGCGGTGCACAGTAGCTGGATATTTGTTACGGAGCAGCTGAGTTGTGCTGCTGTTGGAATCAAGTGAGGATCGTGGACATCCTCTTGGACAAATGTAAGGAATTTGAGAAATTCTGTAAACTTATATAATATTTGAATTTACTAGACTGTGGTTGATGTCTGTTGTAATGATTATTTACATGAGTATGTATGTACGATACTGTATGTCATGTGGGGTGGAGCCCTGTGTGTCAGAGGCTCCAGGATTCTGTAATGTAATTTATTCATATTTTAATGCAGTTAAGTGTGGGGCCCGGTTGGGAACCTGCTTTATTAATCCCAAATCGAGCTCCACGTCACCCACCCTGTTTGGGGGGCGTGACACATTCTCATACATGCTCTCATCCTTCTACACGCATTTTTCTCATACTTTTTCAGTATTTTTCTCATCTAATTCTCCTGATATTCACGGAGAATATTATCAACGATTATAGTGGAAGATTTGAAGACCTTATAATGGAATGAGAAATTAGCAATAAACAGTTGATATATGTGATTAATGGTATGAGTAAACAGTTCTCGAGGTTTGAAGTCTAAGACCAGAAGGTTGGGTGTGAATGAGTATTTTTTTTTTTAAATACTGTTGTTTTAAAAGTAATTTTATTAATAGATAATTTAACAATAAAACATTTATTTAAGAAAGTATGTGAAAAGTAAAATAAGAGGTGTATACACTATATAGTAACAACAACGGTATAATTATTTAAAGTTTAAATATTTGAAATGCAAGAAAAAAGGAGATCACATGAGCAAACCAAAAAAGGAAAGTGAAATGGGGTAAAAAGGTGGAAAAAAATTTGAAAGGCGTAAAACCAAGTAATATACACATATAGATAAAGATAGATATATATATATATAGGCACGCATGGAAATAGAACGCAGTTCCCGGGATGACTGAGATAAAATCATGTGTGCAGGCGTGAGAAGCAAAGGCTGAGAAAGACCTCCCACCACACCCACAAGCCACAAGACACGAAGGCAGCCCCAACTTCCCATATTCCCCACCACCACTCTCTTTGCTTTTTGTCACTTCCTAAAACTATGCACTTCTTTTAATTCATACACCATACAGAATCTCATAATCACCACCTTAAGCATAATAAAAAAAAAGCATATATAGAAACCATGTATATATTTTTAACTTCATGAGTTTGAATTTTTGTTTATTAATTACTAGCTACTTGACTAGAGTACTAGATTTGTCCATATCATTTCACGAATTCTCATGTACCATTTTTTGGACCATTTGGAGTTTGGTACAAAGATTATATTATTACGTTTTGTAGATTAAGCTTTTATTATCTCAAAGCAGTTGTCTCCTTGTTAAGTAACCACAAGCCATTATCCCAATAAGCGCCAAATTAATATTAACCTTGTGAATGCCGACTTAGTGCTATTTCTTTAGTGCCCTATGTTAATGCCTATTTATGATGCCTAAAATGCCAAATGGGTTAGCACTTACTCAAGAGTTTAAAATAAAGATAAAGGTGGTAATGAACGTGTCGTTTTACCAGTTTAAATTTCAGTGCCTTTTTTAGATGTATTACCTGCCTGCAGTTTCCATCCTCTTTCTATTCTTCTATTCTCTATTCTATTCTATTCTCACTACTTATCCCACTTCAAACTCCTATGAAAGATTCTGCCTAATAATTATGCACATTTCACTCTCTAACCTTTTTTTTTTCCAATTAGGATTTTTTTAATGAATTTATTAGAATGGAGAATCTGTTTTAGGAAATGACAAGAGTGCCCTAGCTAGCTAAAGTGCTGGTCTGTGAAAGTGGATCACTTGATATCCCAGATAAAAGTTCCCCACTAAACAAAATAATGATGAATGAGTAGATAAGTAATTACTAGAAAGCTACTACCCTTGCAGGTAATTAGGTTTTACTTTATTTTATTTTATTTTTCAGATGCACAAAAAAAAAAAAAAAAAAAAAAAGAAGGATCAGGTGCTTTTTCTGTTTCATTGAAACTTCAACCTCACCAAGAACACTGTATAGAGTAATCGTTTCTTTGATTAGAAGAAGCAACAAAGTCATAATAAATTAGTCATAGTTAGATGGCAGAGCAAAGTCTTTATTGGAAAATGACCTGACTAGATTAGGTTCTCTCTTACCAACTGAATGTGTCAATCAGAAAATGAATGCATATGGTTTGCTGGTCACTTGGGAACGTCAAAAGAATTCATTTTCAAGCTTAAAAATCTTTCAAAACTAGTAATATATGTATGCAAGGGAAAGTTTAGAAGAAAAGGAAGAGAAAATGAGGGCTTTTTTTTTTTTTTTTTTTTTTAAAGGACCCAAACAAACAGAAAGATGATAGTGATAATATGGTTTATTAGGCACAATTTCATGTGAAAAAGAAGAAGTGATCACACACAAGTCAAATATTGTAATGTCCCATTAATAGAGAAAATCCACTTCTTAATTAGAATGATAATAATTATGGCTTCCCGAGATAATTACCTATGCCCAACACTGTACCCCATTAAAAGGACATGCAGCAAAAAATGGGTGGCAATACCTCTCAAGTTTCTTCCTATATATGATTACAGTCAAGCTTTGAAGTATACTGAACTTGCAATATCATAAAGTAAGGACATATAAATATATTATACATGCAATATACATACAATGCAAGTGGAAAACCAAAAGTGACATTGATGCGTCAACATATCAATAAGTCAGGTTTTTTATCTGTCGGTTCTGCATAAAATCGCATAAAAGTAAAAAAAAATACACAGATTCAACAGTTAGAAAAACCCGAATTATAAATACGCCAGACGTATTAGAGAATCTCGCAAACTAAAAAGAAAAAATAAAAACAAAAAAGATCTTCTCCTGTACGTCAACATACCGTAAGCCAAGTTTTTTGTCCGTTAAATCTGCTTAAAATCACGTAAAAGTTAAAAAATACGTAAATTTAACAGTTAAAAAAACTTGACTTATTAGTCCGCCAAACGTACAAGAGAATCTCAAAAAAAAAATCAATCTCAAAACATTTTTGCTTTTCTTTACTTTGGTTACCCAAATATAATGAAATCTTGGAGAGATATGACCTGTAAAATACCTTTCTTAACGTATTTAGTTTCAATTAAAAGATTCTTGACCTTTAATAATCTCACTATCAAATGTTTCATAACAGAAAAATTAAAGCCCTTAATTACGGTTTTAAAAACCTCACAATATCTCATGACAATTAAACTGGAACAGTTATGATTGACCAAAATCTAAGCCATGCACCAAGAGATTGATAGATGGGTCAGTCCGGTCTGGTTACTATAACAATAATATAGGTTATATTATAAGCAAGCAATCGTTGAATTTTTGTTTCCTTGAGGTTTAATGCAATCTTGTTGTTTTGTTTCTAACTTTTTCTCAGGAACAGGAAACAAAGACAAAAATTTTCTCTCCCTCTCTCTCTCTCTTTGTAGTCCCATGAAAGAAAGAGACAGAGTTCCACGTGGGTAAGTCCAAAATCTTCAGAAGGGCAACACCGTCATTTCATTATCGAACCATAATACTTCTACTGACCTAATAAATAAATAAATGACCCAATTTAATAACCCGCCATGTCGCTTCCATTCCATTCTTCTTTCCTTTTTTTTTTTTTTTCTCTCTTCTGTCGCGTCCCATTATAGAGATTAGAGAGAGATGAGAAGAGCTTGCATTCATAGGAGAGAGAAACAAGCAGGGTGATATAAACCGAGAGAGAAACATTGTTAGAGAGAGAAGTTAATGGCGAGTAGGTGGGTTAAGTCTCTGCAATGCAAATCCAGAGCATTCGACGACGTCGTTTACAACCCCAAGCCCAGACCAACCCTAATACCCAGCGCCAATTGCAGACACAGCGTTCAGAACATCAAGGACGTCATCGATACCGCCGCCGCCAAACACCACCACCACAAGCTCAAGAAGAAGCCCAAGCCCACCGACTCCACCCAAAAACGGCCTTCGATATCTGAACGACCCGATAGAAAACCCGAATCCTCCACTGTAAGCCCCACCGGCATGACCCGCCCGGCCAGAACCCGATCGCGGACCCACGACCAGTTCCTGCCGGCGCTGACCGAGCTGCCGGAGGGCCACCCGTCACGGAACGTGGTGGACATTATCTTCCACACGAGCTGGAGCCCCAAGGCATTTTCGGGTCGGGTCGAGATGATATTCAAGGTGCAAAACGGGCCGAAGGCGGTGGCCCGGTTCGAGGAGTATAAAGAGCTCGTGAAGTCTCGGGCCCGGTCTGGGGGTCCTAGAAAGGACGAGGAGGAGAACGCGCGGTGCGCGGCGGATGGGAATGAGGTCATGGGGTTCCACTGCCTGGGGCCCACGTCTGGAGGAGGCGCGTACGACGCCTGCGGTGGCGCGTGGACGTTTCCGGGAGGGAAGGGCTCAGCGGTGATATGCACGTACTCTGGAAGCGGCGGAGCCCACGAGAGCGCCGGTGGGGGGAGGGGCATGCGGGCCATGCTTGTCTGTCGGGTGATTGCGGGTCGGGTCTCGGAGCAACTCGGTCTCGACTCGCTTTTGAATGGACGAGTTGGGCTCGACTCGGTGAGTGGGGACAACGGCGAGTTGCTGGTGTTTGATCCACGTGCCGTGTTGCCTTGCTTTCTTATTATCTACAAATTGTAAAAACTACAACGTCTTTTTATTTTATTTTATTTTTTTTATGTCTTATATATTTTGTTTCTAATTTTGTGGGGGTTGATTATGATTATGATTATGATAATGAATCGTTCTACTTGCATTTATCAACATTATTTTTTGGGGTCATGAATATTTTTGTGTGATTGTGGAAAAATCTTGTTGATATATGCAAATTAACCAGTTTGCCGTTTGTTCTCATGAATTCCACTATTCTTTCCTCATTCCTCATTCTCTCTCTCTCTCTCTCTCTCTCTCTCTTTTCTTTTGGGTAAGTGAACCATTTTATTCTTATTCTTTTTATAAATAAATAAATAAAAAAAGTGAACTATTTTTGCAGTAAAAGGCCTTTTTATTTTGAGAATTAGGTTGACCACGACTAGTTCAAAATTTTGTGGTTCCATCAATATGAAAAATAAACAAAGGCTTTTATTTTATGATTTCATGTTTAATATTTGAAAGTTTTGGAATTTCTTTGAAATTGATAATAAGGGACCAATGAGCAATTTAGTTAGTTAAAAAAAAAAGGGGGGGGGGGGGGGGGGGGTTTGA